TCGATTACTATTCTACACGACCGCAATGTAATCGGTTTCGGTTCATAGGTCCCTCGTTTTCATCGGCCAGCTGGGATAACAAAGTATGTGATAAATTCATCCTAGAGCTTATCTAACAGACTCAATTATTATTCAATTATAGTATATATTACGCATGTATATAAACCGTACCGCGTGCAATTATAATATCATATTACCGGTATCGATTAGGTTTGTGTTTTAATCTTTATTTTTTTACAGTATACAAATGTCAAATACGATACGCGACACGTAATGTTGACACTGCTCTATCGCCTATTATGTATCTATATATGACTATATTACACATTAATACATATCTAAGTACACACACACACACACACACACACACACACACACACACACACACTTAATTGGTATTACGCATATAATTTAATATTACAGTAAACTATATACTAACCTACTCTACGTTCTCGTAATCCGGAGTGTTCACCTGCAGGTGTTCCCCAAAAAAAACCACTTAACCCCATTTTATTAAACTCGTCGACCTCTAAATCCTCCGTCGGCGCAGATAGAAAATAATATTATTCTACCACTTAAGGATATAAAAATAACATAATTTTAGAACAATAACAGGCGACGGCACTGTTTTTGTGTTATTTTTTATCGTATAATATAATAAAATATAATATATATATACAGTTTCTGTTGTGGTACGTCGTATATACAATAATAATGCTGTGCGGTGAGCATATAATATAATATCATAACGATACTATACAATATACTATAAAGGTGCCGCGTCGAGTGCGTTTTATGATTTGATTTCAACTTAATATAATATATAGTGGGTAAGGTCGACTCTCGATAACTCCAAGTTCAAAGGGGGAAAAAAATTTAAAATTTCGAATAATCGAAAACCAATAATTTAGCGTTGTGGCGTTTGAACTTTGAATGATAATTTTTCTTTTATCATCGAAAGTTGACTGTATTTCGTTTATTACTCGTATACGTTAAAAATTAAAAACGTGCAACCGTTTAGATCCTTCTAGATTTAGCGCAGGCCCAATATTATAATAATATATTATTCCGCGCTGTTGATGGTAATTTGGTATTATACATTCTATAATAATCATATATTACCTACATAAAGGTGTGTAACCTGTTTGATCTCATATTTTCCAACGCACGTTTGCCCACTTGTTTTTTTCGAATTCATACAATTGCACTAAAATATTATAAGGCGTATATTATTATAATGGGCCTATTGTTATAACTTAATAAGCCACACGTGCAGTTTAAATAAAATATGAGAATATTTTAATATATTATACCATCGGGTGCTCTTATCAGTAGCCGGTACCTATTATGATATTATAATAGTTTTAATTTCCATCATATAAATATATACGACAGGGGCCGCGTAGTCGTTACTGAACGAAACGGGAAAAATATCCGAACGAGCATCATCTCAAATATTCTCATCCCAATAAATATATATTTTTTTTCTACGGAATCCGAAAGAGCCTACAGCAGAGTCGACCACGAGATGATTGGCCGTCTGGTGTGGCATATATCGCGGCAAGCGTTTTGAATTAATTTAAAGCGTAAATAATGTTATATTGTTGTTATATTTTATACAATATTATGATGATAAATTATAAACTATGAATAATAATAATAATAATAATAATAATAATAATAATAATATCATTGTACAGCTCTCAAAAGCCGATCGTATTATAGGTAATTCGTCGTGCCCAGTTGTCTCGCGATCTATCGTCGTCGTCGATTCCGTTACGCATCGTTACGCGTTCTATTATTTTCTAAATTAATATAAAATAAAACGTATTATAAATGGTTCTCTACCAGCACGGACGGATAGGTAGGTATAGACCACAACGCAACGACGGTATATGCCTACTTTATATTAGGTATACGTATCCAATAATTAATAATAATTATGATATCGTTCCACGTGCGTGGTCAGGAGTATCGTGTTAAAATAGCGATTCACGTCCACATCCGTTTTACCCAGCCATAATATTTCTACGATGTAAACACTAAACGAGATAGTAAAAAATCAAAACCGCCCGACTGTCTGCAGCAGCGGCTGCAGTGCCCCGCAAAGGCATATTATATAGGACGAGAGTATTATTATGTAAATAATAATCATCGATCGTCGTCAACACGTCGCGGAACCGGCTCTTAAACACGCCGTAAAACGGGCCTTAAATATTATATTATAAATACATTTATGTAAACATTAAAAATATTATTATAATACGACGTATACCTATAAGTTTGGTTTTTTTTTCCTTCGCTGGAGCCTACCACGCGAGACTTGCGCTGCTTATAATATTAAATACAAATGTAGTGCCTAGGTACCTACCTATACGTGAAGTTATTTTCTGACTGATTTACTACATATTTTATACTTATAGGCAGATACCTACCCCCGAATCGATAATATTAATGATAATGTGAGAACTCGTCGGTAGTAGTTGTAGTTGCGTTAACGACGGCGGTCCTTATAGAAACAGTGCGGCATTGTTATGCGCCCGAAAAAAAGCCAATTTGTCTACGTTCGTTGTTAACCAGTAAAATATCAATCATTGTTATCCCCCGTAATCGCTTTAAAACGTATCGTTTTGCACAAACGGGTTGAGACGAAAAACAGTAAAAGTAGGTACTATACAGTTTTGTATAATTGTAAACGACACTAAAATGTATAAAATATTTATTGGAAAATTGCAGTCACCTCTTTACGCACGATTTTCTTAAACATTCCGTCTCCTCCTTTCTATACGGATGATCAATAGTGATGTAAAATTTCAGAAATTTAATGATCAAGAAATTTCTAAGCAGAAATTACTGGTAATTTCTAAGCAGAAATTACTGGTAATTTCTAAGCAGAAATTACTGGTAATTTCTAAAATTTCTGAAATTTATAAAAAATTGTATTTAATTTTTAATAGAACTTACCTTTTTACTTAAGGAGTGTAAAAATTACAAATATTCATGGGAGTTTCAAGTATATTTCATAACATTAAAAATATACTTAAACATTTTTATTAATTCAATTTTTTTTTTTTTAAACATAATTGAAATTTCCTACTAACATCACTATAGTGATCAAGTGTACTCGTATCTTCCGATCGCATAGTGTTATATCGTTTGAACCGGAATACTTTGAAGAAAAATCATCTATTATTTATGAATTCCATCAATTTTTTTTTTTGTTGTTGAAATAATTTGCAATGAAATACCAATGACACTTATGTTAAAAATCGCATCAATCTCTGGAAATTGCAGTGAGCGTGAACAAACCTCAAACTTCCTACGCACTATCTACAGGGCACATAACGGATATATACTATATAATTGCATTGGAGACATTTTAATTCTTTTACGCACAAGTACTCACATAATAAATATATATACCTAATTTCGTAGAATTATATATAAATGGGTCTTACAATCTGTGCAGTCGTGTAGGTATAGTTTCAAGTTTTTATAGCGTCAACAGTTTGCTGTTGCGCGCCTTACATGCATATAACAATGGAACATTACATATTTTTAATCAATGAAATCACACCCATTTATATTGTTGATTAAATTACCTATACCGGGCTGTACAGTAATTTTATCTCGGTTAGTATCAAGTTTAGTTATTTTTGTTTATTTATTTTTTCATTATTATTTCTACTGCTCCATTTATTTTTACTTTAAAGTTTTTAAAATCGTACTAATCGTTAATTCCTCGCAATCAAAAGCGCACCAGAAAATTAAATTTTTATAATATTATTGTATAGTCATTCGTTAGTTGCTTGTGTTATATTATACTTGCTCGTATATATTACTCACGGCATGAGAGTACCTATAAAAAATGTCCATATAGTATTTTATAACCTACATTAATCGCAGTGAAGTGTATAATATTATGGTTATCTGGTATGATGTCACGAGTCGATGGCAAATAAATAAAAAATAATCAGTATTTTTTTTACTTTTTATTACCTTTTTCCGTAATCTTATCAACATTTATAATAAATGCAGTAAAATGGTTTTTTTAAACTACTGACATAATCATGAGTGACGAGGTTAACGGTCGCGTCGGGTTGGTTTGAAACTGATATGTCATAAAATAACACACGAGACATTATTTTCAATTTAAAAATTTCGGCTGCGGCAGGATATCGATATAACATCTGCAGTCTGTACAGTAATATGTGTTGCCCATTTGCGTTCGACGATTGTCTATATAATGATGGATAATATTTAGATTATATTTTAGACCCATATACCTAAATTATATTAATTATTTAGTCAAGCTAATGACCACAGATGTTGAAGCTATAACTCAATAAAAAAAAAAAATTATGGTCTGCGTTTTAAAAAAGAATAAAAAACCAATGCATGTAAAATATTTTTGGTCCATATCTAGTTCCAGTATACAATTAATTACTGGCATTCGTAAATATGTAATACTTAACAGTCTACAATCAATATTCCGTATAAAGGTTTAAATATGATGTATTATTCTATAGTATGATAATGCCAACAGTAGGTATTTAGTTTTAATAATAATTAATAATTCGAAAACAGTTTGATATCCGACGTACGTATATTTAACAATAAAACACTGCAGCTAAGTAATTTGACCGAAATTTCGAGTAGATGACATTAGATTATAAGCATAAAAATAATATAATATTTAAAGCCGAATAATATGTTGAGATTTATAAAACGTTTAATTTAAATAGTATCGAATTGGTATTACAAAATATGTATTACAATTTACAGCGTTGAATTGTTTTTAGTTATTAGATATATTATGTTATATTTTATCCCATAATGGGTGCTTTATTAAATTAATATTTTATAGAATAATATGATATGAATTTTTATAACAATGTACATATTAAATTATTAACTAGAATTATTTTAGTCGATTTAATTTTTCAATTTATCATAATTGAATTTTTTAATAATTTGTTTTATTTTTTTTATTGTTTCAGTCTTTTCAAGGCAGTCAAGGAAGAGCATACCTTTTCAATTCTGTGTAAGTATAATAATTATTTTTATTGTTCCGTAACGTTACCTTTTTCGGGACTTGAATTAATAATAAGTGATATACAATAATTATATTTCGTTAGCGGCGAGTCACTCTGTTACTTTGTAGATATAATAATATATACGATCGTGAATAATATTTACGTTTCTACGTTTTATTTAACGTCATCGCGCTGGTTCCCATTAAGTTTTTCCTCTTCCCATTCAACATTATATCATATAACGTAAATATTGACTTTTGTTCGTCTTCCTTTAGTGTAAACGTTGGATGCGGCCCGGCAGAAGAAAGGATTTTGTTGACCGGACTACATGCAGTCGCCGATATATATTGTGAATGCTGTAAGACCACCCTGGGTTGGAAATACGTGAGTGTACATTTACCATGTATTTATTATTATAATTATCATGTCCCATGAACGGCGTAATACTTCGTGTGTCTACAAGAATAAGTATTATAAAAACCGAAAATACGATTTGAAGAAAAGAGTTCAAAGACCAAAGTACAAAATAATATTATCATAAGAGTTTTTCGAGATTTTTCAACATTTTATAAAATAAAATAATTATAGTATTAAAAATAAACATTATAATACCGATATGATCGGCTTACATTTTTAAGAGATCTTTTCTGACTCATCGTCATTCTGCGAACTATATAATAATATTGCATTTTAATTTCTTTGAACTTTACCAATGTTTACAAATACAATTTCATCGTAAAAATAATCTTATTAAATATTATGATTCGTGAACCAAATCTGTATTCATCATACTATGATATAATATAATATAATTATACGTAATACCAACAACTAATAAATAATAACATAATATTCAATGGGTGTCATGCTTTACAGAATAATTTACTGTTTCTTTTTCAAACGTATTCCATGTAATATATTGTGCTGTGATTCTTCAGTTAAGTTTTGTCAATATTAGTTATCTACAAAATAATTATTTTTAAAAGTTATAAGCATTCATTATAATTATTTTGTATCATGAAATTTTTTATACATTTTTTAAAATTACTGTATTGCTTTATAGCATTTAAAAATGTACCTGAATAGAGACCGGAAGATTCGCCAAGCATTCTCACCCCCATTTTACCTTCAATACTGCGTTTATTGAAATTACGGATTTTTGAATTTTTATACATACTTACAGATTTGATTTCCAATATTATTTTCAAACCATCGAGAGTTTTTCTTGCTACTTAAGGAGTGTCCTTTGGCGATACAAGCTTCTGTTTTTCAAATGAGAATCCTCTTTTTTTATCGTAAATTATTTTATGGATAATTATTTGAAAATGTAAATGTACATAGTTCAAAGTCCCGGTATCTGATCTAGTATTTAGTATACTTAACCATTTTAATTAAATATAAAATATGTTGATAGATTAATATTAATTACTAAATTGTTAAAATAACCATATAGCAATACCCATCTTCCAAACCCATTATCATGGTCTTATAAACCTATAATCCTCAGTACACAAAGTTAACTACTCTTTTGAATTCGATTTTGATAAGTACATCGAAGTACTCCGATAAATATTCCACTTTCAAATAAGAAATTAAAAATGCATATTGTAATACAAAAACGTGAAAAACTTACAAGATTGAAACTATAAAACATGTGTTATTATTTTTGGAATAAATGTTGTTTTGTAACGACTTAAAATAATGTAAAAAGAATATTTTCAAAAACACTTTTAGTTTTTGAAATAATGAGTGTTCTTTAATAAAAAAACATAAGTATAGGTTAACTCACCTATAAAAAACTTTAACATAAACTCACTGGTCTTATTTATGTTTTTTATTTTTGGTGTTGTTCGCTTGTATATTCTTGCTTAAGCCATTATTATTTTTTCCCCTGGCAATGTACGTAATACGTGTGGGGTTATTCGTAACGCCTACGTACGCAGTACACATGCATATCACTAAACAACAAATTAATATATATTATTATATTATTTTGGTGTGTATGTGTTACAGGAACATGCGTTCGAATCCAGCCAGAAGTATAAGGAGGGCAAGTACATAATCGAAATGGCACACATGATCAAAGAAAACGGCTGGGAGAGTCCGCCGAAGAAATAATGAACTTCTATATCGTCTTTCTATCTATCTCTCTGTCTCTCTGTCTTTCCCGCCATGTGTTTCTCTCGTCAAATCTCTTTGTTTTTCCCCATCCCATCTCTTTCATCCGTCAAATCCGAAAAATTCTCTCTCTTTCACCCTCTCTCCCAGTTTTTTTGGTGGTCGTTCACCCGACCTCGAAAAGTTTGACGTTTTTCCGAACAATCTGTGGTTGGTGTTGCCGACCGTCGTCCAGTGTTCACCGTGACCACGATAAACGTTTCACAGAGTTATGGCCACAACGAAGGCAAATAAAATAATAATATTCGCGGCTGTCATAATATTTTCGCCATCGTCCTAGCTCCACTGGATATGCAAATGCGCAAACCATCACCGGTAAATGACGGAGGGAAATCTCAATTAATACGCCGGAGTTAACGTTAGACGGTTAGCTTACGGTCTTATTATAATTATTAAAATAGTAGTAATTAACTAATGGTGTACCTATTTATAATATTAAGTATTTATGTGATAACGTGATCGTATATAAGAGTATATATATGTAAGGTCGGCACTGTAATTCGATTTCAATCGAAGCACACAAAATTAGAGATGTATACACACCTCCCGAAGTCCCGAGGCTTTTTCGATACATATTATATTTATTATTATGGCCACAAAAACAGATTTATCGTTTTATTGATATTTCGGAATAGTGAAAAACATAACTATATATATACATATAATATATTTCTTGCGTTGTACAAATAACATTGATAAAAGAATATATTTTATTTATTTATTTTATCTCATTATAATTATGAGCTATTCGTATTATAATACAACGAAAATCAATAATTATTACTATATATTATAATATAAATTATAAATTCAAAAAATTAACGCAGGGTTTCGTTTTAAAATATTATTTTTATTTCAATATTTGTTCTTTAACAAATAGATCCGGTCAATGGCGTATTGCTTGGTAAGAATTTCGAGAAAAAATATTTTTATTTTGTATTTTTGTGTTATTCAAATTCGTTTAAGATAATATACTAAGACTAACCATAAAACTACTAACCCATTAAAAAACAAAATTCTTGATAAAAAAAAAATTAAAATTAAATCGTGCTGCTTACAATAATCTACCAGTTCTTATATAATATATACCATAATATAATAATATCATTATATATAAAATAAACACATTTTTTTATCCATCTACTTTATCTCATAACAAAATTATATTAATAACATTGACGTATCGATTGGTAGGTACAGTATTTTCATGTAGTTAAGCTTAATACAATATTATCGGTATAAATGTAATTTTCACGTGAAGATTACAGAGTGTCTTAATTAGTATATATGGTTGGTTTTTATTTTATGAACGGATTAGCTAGTGTCAAACGACAATTTTTTTTGATCACTGAAGCACCGTTACTAAAAATGTATCTATACCACAATATACCAATGGACACCATGTAATAGTGCGTACGTCGCCTTGGTATAATGAGTGTAGGTAGATAATTTTACTTTAGCATTAAAACGTATATAAGTAGTACCTATTGTATTTAAAGCCAAAATAATTATAAATTATAATAATAAGTTCTGTATCCAATATTATATGCAATTAATGGTATAGTATTTATAATAATAAGATACTATTTTTATATTTACTATGTAGTGCTATTTCAAATCATTGTACTTAAAACTAAAACTGGTCTCAGAAAAAAAAAACAATAAAAATCCCCAAAAATAAAATATTGAAAGAGTAGTCACTCTAAATCCATCGCTATGTTAGCAATTTAAAAAAAAAACTTCCATTTTATTTTTGTCATCGACTCGATTTTTTTTTCAACTATATTATTTTGTATTTTATTTTTTTTATTTTTATTATTAAAGTTCCTGTGAAAACAACAAACTTTTCCACTTGTCCTTGACAAAACTGATCTCAAAATATAATAAAATATGTTTTATTATGTTTTTATTAACTAACAGAATGGGCGAGTTATATGAATATTTTACTGGAAACGTAAAATTCTGTATACTGGACCAATGGAGATGCAACTAGCACAACTCTGTTATTTATATAATATATGATCATCTGGGGAATCGTTTGTAATATACGTTCTCGTCCTAATAATATATTTCCGAGCCACATCTTGTGTGATTTGCCCATAACTTTGTGCGAATTCACTGAGAATCATTTCAAACTGATCAAGTGCCTATTACATAATTTTTAAATATCCAACTATATCGATCGATAAATATTGATTTATCGCGGACGAGAAGAAAAAAATGTGTATAATGTATGCCCATATGTTATATATTTATCAATTTATCATGATATCAAGTTCATATTTTTAAATAGAAATTTGTTTTCTCTATTTTCTTTTAGTTAATCGACTTTCATTTTTTCATTGACTAAAACCTATGTCCATTCACGTAATCGATGACTAACCCTGATCCCTTTGTTTTCCATGATCGGTAGGCATAATGTGTTTTATACAATATATCTATCTCTTCACTTTTACTATTATTATTTTATAACTTTTTAAAATATCTAGTCTAGTACCTATTATATATTTCAATAGCATAGTTTTATTATTATTCGTGTTTCAGTAGGTTCCCACGTGGAAATAAATAAGAACTATATTATTATTATCGTTAGTCTAATCAATAATAGTGAGATATATTGTGTTAGGGATCAAATTACGTATTATAGGTATTATAAGTTATTATGTAATAAAAGTATTTGAATGTATAAGATAGAGCTCTGTGTGCTTTTATTGATATAATTGTAAGCACATAAAATCCCATTAAAACTTAAAATGTTGCTATATTTCTAAAAACTAATAATTTAATATTAGCTGTATTTTTGTGTAATACACGTCAAAAGTATTCAGATTATTTTAAATATTTGACAAAAAAATCATTTCTGTTTAAAAATATATTAAAAATACATCAATATCTACCTATGCTATAAATAAAATATGTGTGCCGTTGTACATCTACTTGTCTGCTGTTGGAAATAGGAAGTATTGATGCTATCTAAAAAAAAAATTTTTTGTTGTTTAAGTTTTATAAATAATATAATTATTAAGTTATTTTAACGTATTGTTTTTTAAAAATTTTATACTTAACATCTGTGTTTAATGTTTATATAATAAGTTTCTATTTAGGAACTTTAACCTATTATTTTGAGTTGTGATTTTTTTTCAAAATGTGTATGATAATTAAATAAAAAAAACATTATTTGTGAGTGCTGCATTTATTTAATTCGATTATTATTACCTGATCATACTATTTGAATGTGTTATGACAATCGAATTTGACAAAAAAACCATAGACCGCTGAAAATATATTTATAATATAAATAATATTCTTATAAGATGCTAAGTAACTATACATAGGTTCTTTAAGATATTCGTTATTATTGTTATTAATATTATTTTTAGAGGTATATCTGCTAAAAGCATAAAACCTTATAACTATATTAAAGTTATAGCAATGAGTATTGACGTATTATTGTATGGAGACCTTGAAACACTACTTAACCTATAACCCTGCTAGCAATTTGGTAATTGATGAGCTGTATAAAATGCCGACTTTCTCCTTAAGCCCCAAAATTGGATTTGCCATCCCTTACAACTAATGGTGATTGAACATGACTGATAAGATAGGATTCGTTTTTTGATCCTGATAAAATACCCGTTATGCGCTCATCTTAATTTATATCTGTATTAATGATAGTCGTGTTTGGTTTCTTGTGAGATTGAGGTAAAGTATAATCACACAGATCATGTCAAAAATCTCGACTATTAGCTATAAAAATCACAACACGATAGCACAGCAAAATCGACTCACATAATATGTATAATATTATAGCAATTCTACGCTTGATTTTGAATTACGTATAGTTCAATGACTAGAACATATATAGGTTAGTTCATTTGTTACGCTGTCAATGAACATTAATAGAGATAAAAAAAAAAGTAATTGAAATACACAGTACGTCATCAATTCTCGTGCTTACTGTACCTTCAATGTCTTCAATTCAATATTGTCAATTAAATCAATTCTTCGTTACCTACCACTTACCAGTTTATAACATTTTAAATTGGATTTATAGTTACCTACTAAGAAAATAAATTGTGTTCTACGATTGTAATTTGATTATCTGTTCAACAATTACCGTTTAAATGTTATTTTATTACAGCCGTCTTATTAAATATAAAATATATATGACTAAATATACTTCAGACGTTTAAAATTAAAACATATATACCAATCAATTTATTTTTGTTCAGACAGGTACCTATACAGATAATAATTGTTTGATAGAGGAATACAAACCATAATATTATGTTTTAAATTAAAATAGATGAAGTTTTAAATAACCATCACACGAATTTTCCAGTCAAAATCTTTGATAATTTATATTATAGTGGTTGGTTTGGGTCAGTTGACTTACGTCCAATTATGTGACAATACAATATTGCATCATATTACCCTACTACGCAGGTCGGTACTTTATTTTATATTTTAATATGTTTATTTTATAATGCCATGAATACAGGACGTAGGTTTAACGATTTTTACTGACCAGAATATGTCTAAGGACAGCAACCCCAAAAGGGTTTACGTCTTGTAGTTCGTAAATTATAAATTATAATACATATTATATCTTTTTTGTGATTTACAATTTTACTCGTTATAACGTGATACCATATATATATATATATATATATATATATATATATAGGTATAGACACTATTGTTGGGTTGTATATGTGCAATGAAATTAATTTTAAATGAGTTTAAAATAAAGTTCTTCAAGCGTATAATAAAACAAAAATATTAAATGTGTAGGATGTTTCATGCTTTAAATAAAGCAGCACTCAACGTGGGAATGGGAATGTATATAATCGGAGTAAAATTGGAAACAAGTTTTCTGTTATAGAAATGGTAATTAATTTTGTGTCCAGATTGTTTCCCAAAAAAATAAATAATGTACAAAATATGAAGATTATGGAATTTGAAGAAATGCATACTTAAAAATATACCAAATCATATTATCTATAACTACACATTTTAATTAACGAAATACAATTTTGTGGGAAGTCTTTAAAAATGATTATTCAATACGTAACATCACTACAGCTATTTAAAATATACATTATTTTTCATGACTTAAATGTCTAATTAATTATCATATTTCCATTTTAAAACCTGTTACCAGAAAATGGTTTATATAATAATGGTTTCATAGTCTAAAAAATAGTAGAATACATCATAACAGTTATTATTTAGTATGGAGATTAAAAATATGTTATGTAAGAATTTATGTTTTGACAAACACCGTTTTTTTGCCTTTGCAGTTAAGCGAGCTATGTAAGCATTTTATGATGTGAAGGTATTTATATAGTTATGTATACATCAATAATAACATTATTTATTAATTTTAGCGATGGTTAACACTTAACAAAATAAGTAATAGCATGCAGGATATAATATTATCCTTTCGTTTTTGAGTATATCAAATTAATAACATATTAATTAAAAATTAATTGAGAGTTATCGGTTATTACACTATATGTATTTGTCATCAAATGGTTCAAAATAAATAATTTCGTTTCAGAGTCAGTATAGAATAATGTAATAAGGAGCCAATAATCGATTCTATTAGATTCTTTCATAGGGCGAATCGAATCCTTATAAACGTATAAACAAATGATGATGCCATGATTAAAACCAGTTTTATTATTTAGGCGAAAGTTCCTCGTGGTTTAGGTGTATGACAAATCATAATATTTTTTTATACTATCCATTAGGTAATTTAGGCTTAAGAGAACATGATTCCAATCCCTTCTGCACTGAAACGTTTCAACTTTCAGGGACTTTCCATGCATTAATAAATAACATGGTTTTATCCTCGTATGTGAGCTGTAGTGAATACCTACATAATATTCTATGCATATGTACCGTTTGTAAATCCATATAATATAATAGAATATAGATAGTATAATAATATATTCTCTGCTCAATCTTCAGCATTTATGAAGTATAAACTATAAGGTATTGCTTTTTTTCGAACCACGTATCATATTGTTGTATAAATCATAATATACACACATGCCATACATACATTCACACTTTAAAAAAGTTGTAGTAGTAGTAATATAATATTATATTCATGCGGTCTTAACGAAAATAAGAAGATTGATCAATATGCTTATAAATTTTAATTTTGATCGCAGCATTTATGATCTATAATGTTATGGAATTATGAAAATCCAGTAAATTAAAGATTAAAGAGGTTTTGTAATACATACTTTAAGGTCGTTCAAAGTACACGGGGTTTTGTTTTAAATTTTAAACATGCTTAATTACGAATTACGATAATATTTGTCTATAATACATTTACAAGAGGCTGACGTCGGGTGAGATGATAAAAATATCAAAACGTTCTAGCTAATTATTTAAACATATGCGAACATATTCACTAATTTCTTATGGCTATAGCTTTTAAGTTATATTGACTTTGACTGGGTACTATTACAAATGCAAAAGAACACCTTAAAAATACTAAACCGACTATAATACATACTATGAAAGTGCTATAATTATCGAAGTAATATTGGATAGTTTAACATATATAGATATTCAAAAATACTCAAAACGTTTTGTTGTATAGAAACAGCTAATAAATTATTTGTTGTGCACGTATTGGTATTAACGTGCCCCTAAAACATAAGCGTACGTATGTATAAATAATATTTTTTTTATGCTAGGTTTTATTTCTATGACGTTTAAACCATAAATTAAAGTGTATATTATTTGTTGGTTATTTTATGGTACTTATACTTTATAATATAATAATATGTTTACAGAACGATACTCCTTAAATATTTAAACCAGAAGGCGATTTATTTATGTACATTTATGAGTACGTGAATTATTTTTTTTTCGTATACCTATTCATATTTTAAAACTATTCTCGTTGCATCGATTAAATAATAGCCATATTTTAGTACAAGTACGATATTTTAAAAGGAAGTAAATTTTTTTGCTACATTTGCTACATATATTTCTGGCCATTTTTAAACAAATAG